TAAGCGTTTTGCCAATAGTTTAGGTGATATCGTCACTCCTTTGTGAAGGGAAAATTCGTTTTGCAGGTAAGTGTACATCTACTCATGCATTCATCCGGATGTGCCAGAAACTTTTGTCCGATCTTCGAACCAATACCTTCAGTAGGACTTCAAAGTGGCTTTCCATCACTCCGGTATCTGTAGCGGTTTGCCTGTATCCCTGTCCCCAGTGTGATGGTTGTCAATCGGTCTAATTTCGGAGGTGCCCAGTGTCGTAGGGTTTTGATCTTGGGTGGCTATTCAGCCGGCGTGACAAATCATGGCTTAAAATGTAGTTAGGAATAAATGCGGGTCTTATGCGCCATATAAAATTTCCCCTAAAGCAGCGCTGAAGGAGGGTTTTATGCAAAAATATGTCATTTGTTCCAGCCATAAGTTAAATAATTTATGATACTTTCTTGGAATTTATATGAACTGACTTAATTCACTAAAGTTTTGACAGACGGCAAAAGACAATTTGTAAGTGGTTTTACTCTCGAACTGTCAGTCACGTCATGCAACTATTCAGAATTCCAGGACTCCGTCAAACTGGTGAGCGGAAGTCATTTTTATTTGAACTGTCCGGCTTTGTGTGAGATAAGTTAATAATTACCCAGCCACTTTTAGCTATTTTTATGGCAGTTGGGACCCCTACTCGGTTAAAGACGTGCATTATATCCGTTGCAGTGAACAAATCACAATTCGTTTTTTTAACTTTAATGTCTGAATTCTGTCTATTTTACCACTGTAACCGGTAGATAATTGCTGACATAAGAACGAAAGCCAGAAAAAGTGAATCATTAACTGTCCTTCTAACCGAATGCAAAATGTCACTAGTGGTATGTGATTATCTATTCACTGTATTTTTCGTTCAACGGAGAGAAAAGTAGGCGAGTTATTTATTGCCACGGGCTTCTCCATTGAACGTATGATGTTAAACTTTGTCCTACCTCATCCGTCAAAATCAGGTCTAATATCTTATAATGTGAATGTTTGGGCATATGCGATTGTTAGTTTCACGACAGTAAGCCCAAGGACTGCTCATCCTAGTTCCTCTGCCGCTTACTGTATTTGTTCTAAGTGTAACTCAAATGAGGGGCATATCTTTTGTGGAGCAGGCGAGTGGATGTAATATAGACACTAAAACATGCACAAAGGTTCTTCAGAATGCGGAATACTCGCAAACCAGCTTCCTTTCCGGTTCATTATACTTACAAGATAGTTGGTATTTCATTTAATTAAGTGCTGTTTCCTACTCCGGGATATCCTATAAACCTGAATTGTCGCTCACCTAACTAAAAGCCGACCGTTGAGAAGGTGAAGAAAACACGGTTAACCCGGACTTACCAATCGAGCAATCCACAATTCAAGAGGCTAGTTCAATTCTGCGGATATTGAGCATCCACAATCGACGTAAGAACAACTGAACGATAACCATCTGATTAAACAATAGCTTCTAGTGCATGGTTGTTGTAAAACCTGTGTGCTTACATTGGGTGCTCCTGACTTGTGTTGGTAATTGGGCTTCCGAAAGGCGTGTTACTTCATTTATCTGTTTCTGGGTGCCATTCATCATCGTAAAATCCTTCATACGAATTCTTTGACCCCAATAATTCCCTTAGTTATGGTCACTTTTATTTTACATTCATTATTGGATAGCGCGGCTACCTCCTGCTTCATCAACGTCACGTAAATTAGTATTTTCGCTTGCTGACTTCATTTCTGTTCACTCTGCAACATTTAGCACCATACCAAGCTTCGTTTACTAATTATCTCTAGACATGGACGAGGTGGCTCAGTGGCTCAAGCGCGAATTTACTGAACGCAAAGTCCGTGGTTTGAACACGACCAAAAGGATGTTACAGCCGAACAGTTATTTTTAGTTTATTATCTTCTGACATTGATACTGACTTGGTGATTGTGAAAATTTTGACTGCAGGAAGACCCTAGGCTTGTACGGGCAGAATCTTCAGCTGATGTACTTCGCTCTCTTAATGCTCCTTGAGTGAAAGTGTAGTGGCTTAGTCCATTGCACCTTGTACATGGATCACATCGGAATGATGGGCTCATTGATTGAATCACAATACCGCACATCAGCGTAGCCAACTCATTTTGTCGTGGGGGCTAGGGGTGGGGTAAATCGAGAGAGCACTATCGTATCGAGTAAAAAAATTACGATACCAACAGATCTTTGTTAACTTTAAGGAATTTTATCAGGTTTTCTATAGAGGAAAATGTTGGTAGCTCAGGTAGCATAGATGGTGGTCGTTGGCATGTTCGCTGAGCTGGGCAATTTGATTGCAAACGTTTCATCACCAATCGAGGTGACATTATCAGTGCGTTATTGTGGAACGTAGTAGTGCCTAGCGGTGGGTTGGTGGCTACGCTACGCACTACTACGTTCCACAATAACGCACTGATGATGTTACCTCGATTGGTGATGAAACGTTTGCAATCAAATTACCCAGCTAAATTTTATTAGGTCTTAGCTATCTGTCCGTCATTAGGAGTTCCCAGTGCCATACCGTAATATACGAGTGTGATGGTGGATACTACTTCTCGTAAATCCGGTTCGCGTCTCAAAACGCGAGGTATCACGGGAAGCACAACACCTGATTCGGTGGCGTTCCAGGAAATTTTGTCACCTTCATTCAGACTCAGCCGATCAACGATATCATCTCCGTACATGGTTAAAGGAAGAAGGCCTTCGCTGCGTGGTTATCATAGAAACATCAACTGAACAGTTACAGACTATTGGACAGGGGGGCAAAGCTCTCATATGCAACTTGTTTACAAAACTGAATATCCGTTTTTTCCTTGAACGCGTCTTTCTGAACTTTCCTGGATCTTAATTGACCATTACTCAAATGCAAACCAATACTATAAAGCGACTCCACACATTCCGTAACGGATCTCACTTTTCAAGAAATGCCAAGCGGGTTTACGAGAAGGTGCTACTCGCATGCCTCATCAGTAGTATCCACCGTTACGCAGTATTAACGGGAGATTAAAGTTTTACTTTATTTCCTTCAAATGACAGTTACAGACTATTGGACAGGGGGCAAAGCTCTCATATGCAACTTGTTTACAAAACTGAATATCCGTTTTTTCCTTGAACGCGTCTTTCTGAACTTTCCTGGATCTTAATTGACCATTACTCAAATGCAAACCAATACTATAAAGCGACTCCACACATTCCGTAACGGATCTCACTTTTCAAGAAATGCAAAGCGGGTTTACGAGAAGGTGCTACTTGCATGCCTCATCAGTAGTATCCACCGTTACGCAAGTATTAACGGAGATTAAAGTTTTACTTTATTTCCTTCAAATGATCAGAAGTGCTTAGCTAAAACTAGCAATACCTTCACGCGAAATCTGAATGTACATTCGCAAAAGCTTATTCGGTAAGGACTGAACTCGTGGACCATGGAAACGCATTCAGTTTACGACCATGTATGTCCCGTTTTTGTTTACTCGGGTCTGAATCTGAGGTGAATGGCACAGCACCAAGCTGGCTAGTCATCTATTACCAGTTACGCGCCAAACAGTCAGTGAAAAATAACTGCCTTCATATCAATCATAAATAACTGATCCACTCACCTACCACTCAAATAAGCATAGATGAACTCATCAGAGTAACTGACAGGTATTGTCCATGAAATAAATTTACTTTGAGGTACCCAGTCTCAGAAACTGGGCCAGAGTATTACAACGCTGGAGTAACTGAGTATCACAGGGAAGAGAGAGAAGGTTCCGTGAAGTCGAACAGATAAAATACGTCCTGAGATGGCGCAGAAATCCAACGGAAGGATAAACCCAAATTAGGGTAGAATGCACGTCTTTCGGGTTTCAAGTTGAATCTGGGTTTCATTCAGAATTCGGTCTCAGCAGTCCCAAATGAGTACAATATGCTTTCACTAATTCATTGATTTTGTAGCCCTATAATGAAAAAGAAGAGGCCTTCTTACCAGCAGTATTACATTTGAAATTTTGAATGTGTGAAATTTCATGACTTGTGAGTAGTAAATGCCGGTAACAAACTATGAAGCACAAAATTTCGTGGATGTTGCGTACATCGGAAAATTGGTTGTAAGGAGATCCAAATCTTGTTTTTCGAAAGCAATGGATGAGTTATATTTTTGAAAAAAGGGCTAGTGCCACTTTTGGTTGGCAGCAAAAGCAATCTCACTCCGTACGCTCATGGCTCTGAATCAGCTCATGTCAAGCCCCGCAATCTGAAGTGCTTGTGAGTGGATAGTACCTAGTAAAATTGATTTGCTGATCAGACTGTTAAACTTGTCATCTTAAATCATAATGTCTAATCACTGAGGAAGCCTTGTCCTTATTGTAGGAGGCCATTACTGAGAATGGTTGCACCAACCGTTTACTTGTAATTCATTTCACAATCAAGAGGAATAAAAGCTTGACCAATTTAAACTATTCATCTGTAATCGGACTTTGTTGTAAAATTCAGAGTGTAAATGCGCTCCTTATGGAGCGGATGGGTATCCTGAATTACCTGTCAGAAGAGCTATCAGGAGCTAAAACAAATGTTCACAGTAATAAAGGTCCATCGGCAACAGTATCGGTAAATTGTCGTTTTAAGCTAAAGCCTTCATATCTGCTAGAAAAAGTATAACAAAATGCCATCAATGACCTAACTTACCTGTTGTGTTTCACAGTTAAGCGATGTACGTTTGACCAAGTTGCCCACTGTCAGACTAATCGATCGTTTACTCCAAGACCACGTTGTAAGTTCGCTGAATGGGAACTTGTCTAGTATCTCCTGCAACAACCAACAGCATCGACGTTGTCAAAAAAACATAAGGCGTGGTCTACCTTTTTCAAGAGTGCACAATGGGTATTTAAAAAAGTGATTTATGAATCGCTTGTTCTGTCACAAGATTCTGGAGATGCAATATCGTATGGGCTCCAACAGTAACCTCAACATTAGCATTTCAATTTAAGTCCAACTACATACCAATTTCATCATCATCATCATCATCATCATCGTCATCATCATCATTATCAGCTGTAATAACCGGGTACTTGTCGTACGATGGTTGTAGCTGCCACAGTGTCGTTCACTGGTGATTCGAGGGGGTGGGGTAGGTAGCTGCGCAATGGAGGCGGGAGCTGGTAAATCAGTGCGTGAATACGGCACTGTAGGTGAACTGTTAATCTGGGGGGTTGGGAAGGGAGCTATGCATTGAAGGCACTAGAATGGACTCATGAGCACCATTGAGGGCGCGACTGGGCCATGTCTGACAATGTCTGCGACCATTTATATGGCCCGTTTCGAAGCCCCTATCCAGGAAGACGGCAATGACCAGCGCAGTCGGGTTTTCTGCTCATGGCTTCCACACTTTGCTGCCAAGTCATTGTTTCACCGCCTCTGGCTCTCTTGCACCCTTCAAGTAGTTGTGCGAAAAGAACCCTTTAAGGAATTCGGTCGACCGGCATACGCAGCACGTGGCCAAGCCAGCGCAACCTATGCAGTGTGATCAGTTCATCTATCGAGGGTGAGTTATTTTTCCCCAATACCATTCGACGATCTTCAGCATTGCTGATCCGGTGTTCCCACCAGACTCGGGCAATGCTCCGAAGACACCGATCGTCGAACACTGAAAATCTTTTGACGTCCTCAGCGCGCAGCGGCCAGGTTTCTAATCCGTATAGTAATATGGAGCGTACCGCAGCATTGTAAACTCGACCATTGACGGAGAAGCTGATGTCACGCCTACGCCACAGGTGACTCACGTTCACAATTTATAAGTACCGGAACCCAGGCTCACCATTACAGCAAACATTCTTGAAGCCGTGAAAGGAAAGATGTGGTAGATATAGCTCTATTGTTCTGACAGTGAAGTTCCATGTCTCAAGAGCCATTGGCTGATACGAAAGGACTGAGGATTCAACATCCTACAACTTCCACAGTATGGCAGTGACCAGAGACCGCTGACCTCACAGATTTAGAGCATTGCCCATTCACACAGTGCCGAGCAAAATACTTGCTAAAAAAGAGGCTTACGAGGACAGATTCGTACTAACGAACGTTCTAGAGCACAGTAAATCCTTATTTCAAGATGCGAACAGACGAGTGTGACAGTGTGTGCGTCTAGGCCACTTGTGTACTGAATGAAATCAACTGATATATTTGTGATGCACTACTCATAAGGTTGCTGAAAATTCATCGACAGCCACGACCGGTTTCGCCCTTCTTGGGACTCATCATGTAGGCGCAGTCCCCGAGTTTACGTCAACATCACAAAGGAGAGATTCAGCTGGGTTCGGGGTGAGTTTCTCGAAAAGCCAAATTAGTTTGCAAATGAGCGTATTTCACTGAAATCAAGTGACCTTCACTACTTTATCGGCTAAAGGGTTATGCTAAATTTCGAAAACAGAGGTGATGCATATCTTTGTAACGTACTACTCATAAGGTTGCTGTAAATCCATCGACAGCCCACGACCGGTTTCGCCCTTCTTGGGGCTCATAAGGTAGGCGCAGTCCCCGGGTTTCCGTCAACCTTACGTTCTACTTGAAACCAAATTGTATCGCGATATTTCAAGTATCGTAGAGACTGAAACATGAGGCGGCCTGGTGCAGCACATTCAGTTGCCTGAGAACATCATAAACGAGAGATTCAGCTGGGTTCCAGATGAGTCTCTCGAAAGAACCAAATTAGTTTGCAAATGAGTGTATATTCGCTAGAGGTGATGCATCTTTTGTTTCTGATGATGTCATGATCGGATTCGGACAAAGGTACACCACATCACACTCTACATAAATAGTGCAAAGTATTTTTTGTGAAGCTGAAATAGTAACAGCACATTAGCTTGAATTATGTAAGGAGTGAATGTTGTATCGCAAATACATCCATGTTGCCACGATTGCTGCTTATACCAAGATTGGTAGCTGTTATGTGAATGAAAAAACATGGCTAATGCGTGATCACAACCAATCCATCAAGCTATGGCATTCTTTAAAACCATAAAGACACTGGTGCCTACTTTTGTTTGACAGTGAATGACGAGGATGCCGGTCTGGTTTATTGCTAATAAAATTCTTCCGGGGAGTTCAGGGATACTACTTTGCTGCAAAGGAAAGAAAAACAGACAGAATTTCATAAAACTAAAATCGAAAATGCCCCCTCGAACCCTTCATTAGCTTCCAAATTAATTCCCGTAGGTTCGCTCTCATGAACACAAGCAAATAATATGGCTATCAGGAGAATTCTGTTAACATTAGGCAGCGTTGAAACCACACTACAGCAATACGTCAATAAAAAACATATTGCACTCCCGTCATTGCTATGACCTCTGTTTTCACACTGAGCAATATATCCATCGCCAACTGAATCAGCCGGTTCAAAATTAAAGAAGGCTGTTCACCACAGCAAATGGCTTGGGGAGTAGCAGTTAAATGGGAACGCGCAAAGCACTGTAGTGCCAGACAGCACACTGGACCCATATGTGACTATTTTATTGAAGAACACAGTTCCGCACGAATCTGTCGAAGATATCCGTGTTGTCAGTCTTACGCACTGATTACAACTCCGGTAAGACACTGGGAAGATTCTGTGTACTCCATCCAAGAAGACAAATCGCATCAACAAAAACTATCTGTCTTCCAGCTTCCCCTAGTGGTCGTGACCAAGTCACTTCCTATCTATGTTGTCTACATGACAGGTGCAGAACTCAGTTGGTTCTGCTAGTTAAGCTACTCGGGTGGCATACCTTTTGTACAAATATCTAGGCACTTTTACCCGTCCATTTCATCCTACGTGAATTACGGTCTTACGAGCGCAGCACCAAACGACCTTAGAACAATTAACTTAGTTGAAATTCTAAGATATCTTACTAGTAGCTGAACCCAACAGTGCAATTCTAGCACCTAGCACATCAGATAATACGATACATTGAGAGCTGTTCTTAAAAACATGAAGTACCAAGGTTCAGTGTAATCTGGAGTAGAACCGCAGATGATTTTATTGAAAAATGAACTTCATGAAGTGGAAAATTTTTAGCTAGATAATCTGTGGATGCCTACCATGACTGCGCTCCTTTCAAAAAGAACAGAATTTTTAACTGTAGGAGAGATGAGTATCATCCCGAAGAATTTTATGATGTGACTTTTCTAACCCACATTAGGCTACCAAGATCGTGAGTTGGCAACCTGAGTTGTACCAAACCTCTTTCAGCAGTTAGCTTACAGGTCTACACAGAACTTGCTAGATAAGTCCAAGAAATAACTTCTTCACCCATTAAACTTTTGAAATCGAACGAACTGCTGCTACCTGTGCTTCCATAATTAATTTAACTGACAAGAGCTACAACATGCAATCAAAAGGAAGCCCGAGATAAGCCTTGCTAATAAATGATCAGATTGCTAACACAAGTATTCATTTTTCCGAAGGATATCCAGATTCCCCAAATATATGCCTCTGAAAAAAAGTCTTACAATAAAGCCCAAACCAAAAGGACCAAATGGGTCAGCGCTCTTTTCATCGTCGTCATTATTAATCGTCATCTTAAAAGGTAGAGCCTAATGTGGTGCCTGTTTGTAGGGAGTTTATGTAAACTGTCACTCGGGGAAGAAAAAGGGATAGTTTAGACGCTACGGATCGAGGGGAGTTTTGCTAACTCAAGACCGACTGAATTCTCCTAATATATGATGTGAGATAGCCATTCAGTAGTGCGCCCTTAAATCTTCCCTGGCGCTGATATGAATACCTTCCGCTAACCGAATATTAGGAGGCTAGCATCACACTCAAAGTCAAGAGATATCTGTTTGATGTAAGTGCAACTGAGTTTCTATTCAGGAATACCCGGACGTCCAGCTGCACAGCATCGGTCGTAACAGGGTTCTTTTCGTAACATACGAGGGGTTCGAGAGGTTTGCTACGAAAGACACTAATTTTTGCTCAATCAACTAAGGTTGCAGTTGGACAAAACGGAATCCAAAATCATATGTACGATGTGGGTATCTCAGCTAGTGGATTATTCTCCCAACAAGTGAGACTTTATGGCCTCGGTTTCTAGCTGAGTGAGTGAGTATTTTTGTCCGGATCACGTGTAGCCCGGTTCATACTCCGAACAAAATCCTTTCATAGCTAAAATGCAAAGCTGACCAAAGTATGACGATTCTGCGGACTCCTTTTATCCCGATAACGTGCTTGACTATTCTCGGTAACCCTGTGCAACAAATAGGCGTGGATGTCTAATCCATCAGCCGTAGAGTTCAAATACGTCAACAGTTCACTCTATGTATTTTAGGAAACAGACATGTAATTTGGTAGTGAAATTAATTTTCGCAACCTACCGTAACCTCGAAGAACGTGGAGCCGTACGTGGGTAGGCTAGAGATGAACCGCAAAAACATAACCCTCGCCTCTTCCTTGGTGAATTTGTTCATCCAACGGAGTGCTCGGTTTATTTCCTGAGTGTAAGAAACAGGCATAAATATGAACAAAGGTTTTGCTTCGCGAAGAGCTGGATTCGCAAGTTTAATAGTCAATGTAAAACAAAGCTCTAGGACAATGATATCCCGCCGGCGACGTTCGTGCAAATACCTTAAAAATGGGGTGAACTACCATTTCAGATAAAGAATGGAAGGATGAAGCATTTAGAAAAGTAAATGCATTCAGTATTTCCAAAGCGCTTTCACTTACTGAGGAAAAGAACGAACAATTTCAGTGGATATTTAATCATCTAAGCCACTCTATGCTCAAAAGCGTTGGGTGGTCAAACTACCAGCCAGGAGGTCGCAGGTTCGACACTTCCTGAAGTTTCGTGAGATTCGCACTGCTGATTCTTCTTCAAGAGGATAAAGTAGGTGTACAGTAATCTTTTAGCCTTTTGGCGTGGGCGAGTTTTAGCTACAGCATGAAACTTCTGCTAAAAATGCCAAAATCTTCTCACACTACCAACGAGAAAAACGTTATGAATTTCAGAACGGTAGTCTGGATAACCAGATAAGGACACGTCCTTCATTAAAAATCGTCCGGTCTTCGGTGCACCTACCTTTAAAATACTATATCATTGGTGTGAAGGGCGAAGATACTTACATTCATACAGATAGGTTGATGATTTTGTTATCGCTAACGATATGAATGTCAGACTCCGTGGAGCTATCAAAAACACATTGCAGCCTCCTAAGCTCGCAGTAACAGACAAAGAGATAGGAACAAGCACTCTGGGCAAGTTTTTTAGAACTTGGCTTTATGTTTAACTGCATTTTCATTAGCTGAGCAACCAACGTGTCTCCGGAATATACTGAAATGGTTTGATTTCAGTAGTATGAAGTGGAAATTGCGGAGCCTCCTCCATCCTCACAAGTGTCCACTTGTGTATCTCCCTCAAGCCTCATCCTATTCCGAACGTCCTTTCACCTGCTGTGTTCAAGGATGGCGGTGAATTCCACAGTCAGTACCTGTCTAGCCTGCTCTCGTCTATCTCGGAGAAGGAGATGGTCCAAGACAACCACGGTGAGTCGATAATAGTGCCTATCTTCAAAAAGGGTACTCGCAGTGAACCCAGTAAATAACACAATCGTTAGTGTGACTCCCGTTGTAACAAAGCTTCTGGCGCCAATGATTCTTCGTCATCTTAAGGTGGCACGTGACACTTTGACCTACACGCTCAAGGCGGGATTCCGACAATGTAGTGGCAGCGTCGACGACGATTCCACACTGCCACGTGCTCCAGCAATGCTACATGTACAGGTGACTCCCAGAATTGGTGTTCCTTGACTTCGAGAATGCGCTCGATTCTGTCGAGCAGTCAGTGTTGTCAACCACACCTGCCCAAAAGGGCATGCCCCAGGAGTTTGTGAACATGGTCCGGTCCCTATATTCACATACTTCTGGGCGTATGGGAGTATATGGCAAGTTTTCCAAAAGCTTTCCTACAAAAACCGATATCCGATAAAGGTATCCACTCTGTCCGGTCTTGTTCAACTTCGTGCTTGACGCAATACGGAGGCGAACGCTGGATGAACTTCAAAACCCTGGTGTTCAAATTGTTTCTGGTGAGAGCCATATTGACCTAGAGAAGCGGTAGACATCATCCTCATCTCTGGGGACAAATGGGAAGCACAAACCCTGTCGAGTAAATTGACCGCCATCACACCCTATTTTGGAGTGCAAAGTCATGCTTCAGAACATGCAGGCACTGGACATGCCTCGTACAATTCAAGGAGAATCATTGGAGGTTGTGGAGAATTTTACACACCTCGATAGTTGCACTAGGTCTGACGGAAGTGTGTCTGATGAAGTCAATGCAAGAATCACGTTTTCTAATTTGCGTCAGTTATGAAGTCAAAGTGGTACTTCACCAGGTCTCAATGGTCGCATGTATCAGGCTACACTAAGGGCGGTATTGTTGTATGCTTGCGAGTCATGGCCTCTGCGAACACAATGTGAGGCGTCTTCAGACTTTCAACCACTGATACCCCAGAAGCGTTGCTGGTGTCAGCTCGCATCAAAGAATCCTTAACACCGCAATTAGGAGGCGGAAATTTGGTTGCGTAGCAGCTACTTCATTCAAGGAAAACTTTTAGCACCATCAGGTACGGTGGCTTGGCCATATGCTACGCATGCCAAAACATCGTCTACCGAGATGAGCGTTATTCCTCGTGCCTTCATCGGAATACCGGAAACCGCGAGTTGGACAACATTTGACTTGTCGAATGAGTGCGAAAGAGCCTACAAGGAGTTTAGGTGCTGCTGAGGCTGTCCACGTGACTCTGTGCTTGGTTGGCGACACTGCAAGAAGGGAAAGCGGATCGATGTCCGTTGACTTTTTGATGTCAGTTTATTTCCTGGCTGTCTGAAGAAAGGCTTGGAGATGCAGGCACTCCAGGTTGTTTGCGTTGGGCCAACACCAGGTTCCATCCCTCACCCACTCTTTTCTCTTGTCTTCACTCTAAGGCCCCCATGCATCCAAGCTATTGCCTTCAATATATATCTCCACAAATCTTCCACGTAACAGTTCATTGAGAACCTTCTATTTACGCACCAGTCTATCAGCTTTCGCCTCCAATGCGCAGCTGCCTACCACAACTCCCCAAATGATCGGTTGACAAAACTGTGGAGCTACAACCACTGTACGACAAGTACGTGGTACTTACTACTGATAATGATGGTGATGATGATGAGAACGGCGTGGAAGTATCATTGTCACCAATGGTGTTACCGTCTCTGATGGATTAGCAAATGCACAGTATGCAAACGAAAAATCCATCTGTTTTGTTTCATATCGGACCATTGTGTCGCCTGAGCAATGAAGAAACTGGAATTAATGCTAGTCGAAATGGTGAAAAAATTACCATGCTGACTTGTTGAAAAATTAATCAACTGCAATATCTCTCGAACATCTGACCTATTCACTTATTTACAAGCTTCACCCAGTTGATAACTGATGAGGCCCTTCCATCGATAAAGTGGCTTAATAAGTAGACATTTATTTAAAGATATTTGGACAGATTTCATCGTAATGACAAGGAGATAAGTGTGAAGCCCTGTTGAAAATATATTCCTTCGAAAGGAAAATATGACCAGCTGAGTGGTCTATAAATTAAATTTTACCTGATGGTGACCGGCTCGATCACACAACTGCTGCCAACCTCATCAATGGTCAGGGTGGAGACAAGTCAGTGAATAAATCTGAATGTCATGTCACTAAAATGTTTGTTTCCAAGTGGCTTGAACTCAGAGTCTGATATCCTATTGGTCATTGTTGCAACTTTGAACTGGAAGGAAAGAACCCAGCCCTCTGGAGAATTTACTAACAAACGAGCGAACTGAAGTTGTGTTTGCTGTCTCATAGGTTCACACACCTTAAGGAGGTATTTCAAACTTTTGTCTTTACTTTAGGTGTTTATCTTTGGAGTCAATATACCCCAATCAAACTTTGGCGAAACGGTCTCAAAATGACCTTAAAAAATGCTCATTAGAGCTATTGACTACACCGGCTTATGGCTCCATCGTTCAGTAACTTGCTGGACTGTCACTCCGTTTCGAGAGCTTCAGTCACTCATATTATAAGTTTTATCATGGCGTGTGGTCATTTATTCTCGCTCAGTTGCGTTCGTCGTCAATCCTTTCTTCCAGAGTGATTATGAAACCCTATCTGTATCTGTGCATCTCCATGACCAGACTACATCATAGACACCTTGGTGTTTCCTTAGCTAAAAAGAGCCTGCCGGCAACGCATGTTGACATGGTAATTGCAATGAATTTTCGGTGAAAAAGATGCTCATAAAATGTAACTATCACTTACAGCAGCCCAACACTCATCAGAAAGTTCAGTGCGAAGGCATTGTGGTACAATGTTATCCAGCGTCTGTCTGAAGCAAGAAAAACGTCATCATATTGTTCAGATTTCCAGGCTTACGCGTTTTCCAACAACCGATTCCCGTTTGTAATAAGTATCAAGGCAGCCATTTCTATTGATTTCGTTACGGAGGTTTTGTGGTGCCCACATATATAATTGTGAAGCTCCTGAAAAGATAGGGCAAAAATTCGTTCACTAAGACACGTGTGAACACGCATGTATCGTCTTAAAGCAATTTTTCATCTGCTGGCGAAACAATACAGCAAAGTTTTTTTTCATTCACTACTTAGAAGAGTAATTTTCCTGTGGCCAAAGAAACTGTCCGTTTTTGGAGACTAACGCTAAAAAATGGCCCGGAGGACATGTTAAGGCCGCAGCAAATCCCCCAAGATTTCGTTATCCAAGTCCAAAAATGAGGTACTGAACTTGAATCAAGCAGTTAAGCCCTTCAACAGTTTGAACGATTATTCCAAATAGTAACAGTCTTAGAACTTGGCATACAAATGCTGCGGTGTTCGAGCACTTAAAGAGGAAGAATATTGCAAGCAGCATATTGTGCATCGTTTTGCGGTTGTTGAAGTAAGGCCGAGATATTGGTAAAACCAAGGTTAGAACCCTCTCGATATATTTTTTTACGGAATCGGCAAAAATGGCCGCTATAGAACAATGCTTGTCCTAGAGGGAGCTTGTGTGGCAATTTTACTGTAAAAAAAGCGAACCACATTGTCGGCAAACATATTCCTCAGTTTGACACCTTAAGTGGTGAAGTTGTACCTAAATAGAAACGGTGATATCCAACAACGATCAAGAGTTTGCTGAAATAAAGAATATCGTGGAATACTTACCTGAGGAAAGTGGAATAGCTTGTCTGCTTTCGGATCCTTTCCCGGGATAATGTCTATCCATAGTTTTTGGATGAAAAATAGCTCATACGACAGATGAGAGTAAACACCTTTGAATGGAAAATAAATAAATAAAAATAAAAAAGTGTAATATGATAATGACATCTCGCTTGTGTGATCCTGAACCAGCAAGAAGCCTTCACCATTCATTCTTTGAAATGACCTCTTTCCGGCGATGAATAGCTGGGGTTCTCCTGAGGAGGTTAGTTTACCTCGTTACAAATATCGACATCTAACCATATAATAGTACAGAAATATAGATGTAACATGTGAACCAGCTTCCGACTACAGTACTTGTTCTTTTACCGAGCACTGTTCGTGAACAGCCTTCGGAGAAGCGAACATATCACACGCCATTCGGGTCGATGACAGTCCTTCTAAACATCGTTCAGAAATTGGACAGTTCATCCTCAACTTTCACTTTCATGAATCCATGTGAGCTACCAAAAGCTTCCCTTAGTCTATAGTTTCGTTCATATTAGAATTATTGAACTCACACTGAAGGACAAATTGAAGGAGCAATCGTGCTAGATTTGGTCACAAATGGCCATGTCAAGTATTTTTATTCTGACTATGGTGCTGACATTAGCATGTATTAGAAGGCTCGGCGTTGCACAAAACATGCATTCCCGTAAACTGATAGACATATTTAAGCATTGACCGTGATCCATAATTCGCAAACTTTCATTGTTTCAAATATTTACGTTTTAACAGCGTGATAACAGAAAAATCACTGCAGGCTTCGTCTGACCAAGTCTGTATTTCGTACAGTGATGAGAGTAGCGGGTATCTAAAAAGTATTTGTTAATCCCTGGTCTTGCACAAGTTCCAAATTACGCCTTCTGCTCATCCGCATACTGGAACCGCAAGCCCCCTCGTACGTGCCTGTCGATGGATGTATTTCTAGCCCTCACATAACAACAGGTGACTTTAAATAGGCCAGCCTCGAACCGTTTTTTATTTCGGCAATGCATAAATAAGTAAGCAATTTCTCAAAAAAAAAAACGAAATCTAGCCAACCACATTCTGTATTTCGTACAGTGATGAGAGTAGCGGGTATCTAAAAAGTATTTGTTAATCCCTGGTCTTGCACAAGTTCCAAATTACGCCTTCTGCTCATCCGCATACTGGAACCGCAAGCCCCCTCGTACGTGCCTGTCGATGGATGTATTTCTAGCCCTCACATAACAACAGGTGACTTTAAATAGGCCAGCCTCGAACCGTTTTTTATTTCGGCAATGCATAAATAAGTAAGCAATTTCTCAAAAAAAAAACGAAATCTAGCTCAACCACATTTTTGCCAGTTGTCCAGGTCTATTTTGCTTCCTTTCTACTGAACATGGTATTTTCGTACTCTCCTCAATGCCCCGTTTTACATAAAGTGTACGCACTAAGTCTACCCCTTCCTCCCTTGCTCATCAGTTGAACTCGCATGTCTTTTATTCGGGAATCACTTCTGTTTCCTGGTGTCCAAGTTATTCGGTGTTGAATGCTCGGTAGAAAGGTCTTTTTTAAACAGACTCGTCGGAGTCACTAAGTTAGGGAAAGTATACCCATAAAAATAAAATTGGACCCTCGTCATAGGTGTCGCTGTGTGGGTAGGAACGAATATGACTAGACTGATGTATGACTGCTAATGAACTAACAGGCTTGGGGTCTTCCAGGGATGAAATAAAGTTGCAATTTGAATTAGCGAAAATCCCAAACACCGTATTTTCATGTAACCCTTCCTGCTCCTATCTATCCGATCAGTCGTACACAGTTCCTCTTAACCGTAAACGTCAAATTCAAGGGTAGGCATCTTGACCTAATCGATTTTAGTGCTCATTAGACCATTTTCTTCATAGCTTGGGAAAACATGAGCTTAAATATTCCCAAAGCTCTATAATACTAAATTGTATTCCCGTCGTGTTTTTTACCTGCCTAAGGAGGACATTCTTAACTTTGGACAAGTTTTGACACATATTGCACGTGCTTGTACCATTTGTTGTAAAAATACCGTTTCTTTATCGTTCCACACATGAATTTCTATTCCTATTCTAAAAGGTACAGTATATTCTTGTCAGTACCTCCCATGTCCTGGAAGACTGATCTCTCTGTTGAAAAAATCCACATGTCGGATAAATGTATCCTTCCATATTGTGCTCTTTGCCTTCCGAATTTTGATGACCTTTAAAATAGATTCAATCAGGACTGTTCTTGTAACCTGAAATTCCACCTATTTTTCAGACCCAGTTGTAGATGCGCATGTATTGCTAATTTTGAGACTACGATCATCGACGCTTTTTTTGACATCCTGGACTTAGTATGAGCATGTCTATCTATCCATTCAACTTACAATTAAATGACAGAACTCTAGTTTGCCTTTGTTTCAGTTTGAGTGGCCGTGACGACAACAGGATACAGTATGATACAGATGGTCAGGAGAGAAATAAAGTCGCTGCACGACGTTGGCAGGAACAAAGAGTATGAAACAATCAAGTGTCAGGTGACCAATTTTTCACAAAAGTTATACTAGAACAACCCGTTAACCAAGACTGATGTACACTAGTAAATGACAGAGGTATATCCCCGAATTTCAAGGGACGTGTGCCGGTTGTCTTTTTGTGTGGTTATCAGGTGTGGCTTCTGCGAACAGCCTAACTGAGGAGTCTACAAGTTTTCGTCGACCGCTGTCTCAAAACCATAGCTCGTGTGGGCTTAGCCGGTGAATGCGCAGCGGGATAAGTGGGAGGCTAGTCCTTTGTCGGTAAACAGGTACTCCAACTGAAATCTGTATTCGGTATCAAAAGCAGGGTGGCTTGGTTATGTATTGCGCAAGCCGAATTATCGTTTGCCAGAGAGAGTGCCGTTTTCCGTGCCCACTTCATGGTGGCGCAAGAAGTGACCAGGCAGAAGGGTATGAAACAGGCTACAAAAAGTCTGGGTGCGAGTTACCTTCTAGAATGGGGTCTGCTTCATCTCCTCTAAGTATAGTTGGAGATTTTGCAAGATATGGCAGCTGATTGATGTCGATGGTGTTCCTGTTGTTAGTTTCTCTCCAGATTGCCTAAATGAGTGTCTCGAGATAGAAACACTTAGGTGTGGCTATGGTTGGATGGTCCCTTCATTTCGCCGCAATAAAACTTTTGAATAAACTATACTTTTACGAGAGCAGAGCATTTGCATCTGAACACTGACGTTGTGCTTTTCATGGTGATGGTGATGTCAAATGAGTGTAGTGTTGACAGAACCTGCAGACAGTCTACCGGAGTGTGCTAATGCTTTCAATCCGTAGTCACTTGTCCATATCACACCAGACAAACACAACCATTTGAAGTCAGTGCGCAGATTCGGCCGTCGCCTTCAACGCGTGGCTTTCTCTCCATTACTGTCTTTATCTTCGATAGACGTAGCACCTGGAACCACTGCATTTTAATGCACATTTTGTGGGCTGAAAAACGGAACTACACAGAAATACTGAAATGCGCAGTCAGCGTTATAGAAACAGCACTGCAGAATAACTGACCAGTCTATTATTGAGTTTGGCTGGAGTTATGAGTACAGAAAAGTGGTGATATTATCCTCTGTTTAGCGAAGATGCTTCGGGACACGTGTTGAGCGCTGGAGAATGGTGCACTATCGCACACATCTCGTTTAATAGACCATAAAGTTTAATCTCAGCTGTTGATGTACTCGAATAATGAAAGACCCGGATTTTACGGATTCATCAAAATGTCGAGGCACCAGAAGAAGCAGATTACGATACAGTGTTATACACACAAATTATGCAGCGCCAAAATATATTTGTTTTTTTTTGCCGCCGATAGTTATACCCTAATAGATACAGTAACGTCATTGATCTGTTTACACATGTGTCTAAACAAAAGCAATCAATGTATATTCGATGAGTCGATCCTTCTGTTGAATACTTTGACTTGACCGCAATAGAACTATCTTTCAAATTTAAAAATGGTCTCGCACAAACGGCGAGAGGTTAGCCTCAAAATGAAATAGCTTCTAACCTTTGTTGACCTCTTGTTCTCCCTTTATGCAATCCATCATCCACCGAATAAAGTCAAAAAAGTGTGTGTCGCTCGGAATATCTTGTAGATGTTCCCCAATTTGAACGTACAGCGCATGGCCGGTTCGGTTAACTAAATCCAGCTTGGACACAATTCTTTCGCATAATTCACTTGTTTTTGTTCCAGAGGCCACCTCAAATGCCTATAAGATGAAGCCAAATGGTTGACAGTTTAGCAAAAAATTGCAACAACGAAAAGCTCGAGTAACCATCTGGTTTAGCGATAGATCTATATCGTGTTCCAAATGGGTAACATCGAAATTTTATAGGGTACTTAAATAGGTTTTGTGAAACACGTTTAACTATTTAGTTGGAGATTCGACAAAAACGCACTACTGCCAACAAGGGTTGCCTAAGCCGAAACGAGTACCTATATGGAATAAGATTTGAAAATCAGAAAGTGGTAAGCTAGCACGAATCTTCTGGGAATAGCTCAGCCTTGAGCTCACCTATCCTAACTTGTGCTATTTAAAGCAATGGATCTGACAGAGTGGATCCCTATCCTGTCTAATCAAAAAATACCGATCGGCGAACGATACTTCAGTGACAATGTTAGACGCCATGTGGTGTCAAAATTCCACGGCGTGGGCTTAAAACTCCACCTGATCAATCCCCTTTCATACTGCAGCCTGTATGGTGTGACAACACATTCTTGTTGGAGTAAGGATTAGACTGGAAGTTGTACCTTCAACTGAATCCAGCTGAATTTCTCGTTTATGATAGTGTAAATGGGAAACCTGCAAAATATGGGTTCCAATTGAACGTAAGGTTGACGTAAACTTAGGAAATGCGCCTACCAAATGAGCCACAAGAAGGGTGAAACCGGTTTCGAGCTGTTGAATAGTTTTCAGTAACCTTAAGTGTAGTGTGTCAGGTTTACTAAGAACCCTTGTTCACGCACCCACTCTAGGAGAGAGACTTAAGTCAACCAAACCCAGTTCTAGTCAATAGACCATCGACATGGTGAAGGCAGCCACCAACGCCATCATCGACCGAAACCGTACGTCAATTCTGATGCCATACCCACAGCATTGAATACTATTTTTATTCCTTACACTTACTGTGACCGAAAACTTACTACTTGCATAAAAAGTGGACACTAATTTTGAGTTCGCTTTGCCACTCAGGTAGTTCTGTGTGAACGAGCACCAACGTAATCTTGTCAAATCGATTATGTACGACATTTTCGCCGCCTGTTTAAATGTGTAGCTTCTTTGTAGCTGCTTGCACAGTGCTTAGCTCCCATGAGATTGTCAGTTATCACTACACTAACGGTGGGAACTTAAGATTTTTTTCGTATAGGACGCTTTTATCCACACTTGGCTGAAAGTACAGATTTCTGAGAACAATACTATACCGACTGAGTCTGGGTGGCAGGCTGCAATATAGGATGGCTGTCAAAGCCTATTCTAATTAAAAAACACTCCCCAAATTGTTTGGGAGTGGACAGAGTTGTTAAGGTTGACACCACGATAGGTGTGTCTGTGTATTTGAATTTGACGTTGCCAAAAATCGCCTCCGTGCTCTAACGCCCCAAAACGCTATTCACTCTGTAATTAGCATCAGCTCTTGACAAAAAACCTTGCCCAATCGCTTGAAAGTGTTAAAGATGCCTTGTTTATGACCTACACTGAAATTGAGATTTCATTACACTGAAATTCAAAATTCAAATGTTGGCCTTTCAATCAAATACCTTTCATAAATATAATTACGAAGGCAGGATATTCAAGTGAGGACTTCAGGTACACGAGAGACGTAAAAAAGGTAAAATTTTTGTTCCACAGTAAAGACAATGTCTGAAGATTACTGCTTACAGCATCCGAGTCGTCGGGAAATCGCACGGTCTGTAAAATTTCCGTCCGGTTGTGCTGAATTCGTATCACTTCAAGTTCACACGGTGGAAATCGTCGTGGTCTCTGACTGAAAATTAAGCGGGATCCTTAAATGGGTCACAAATGTATGCTGATTACACCACTTGTGACAAGTTACTGAAGTCATCATAATTGCTGACAGCAAAACCAGTAAACACCGGCGCCTAAGTTTCGTACATGTTAGTTTGTTCCGTCGAGACCTTGTAATAAGACAGGGAGTATGACCTAGATCAAGCCTAGCACAAAGATCCGATGTGCCTACACATCCACCACTCAGTCGGAAAATGTGAGTAGCTATTGTCAGCATGAACACTACTAACATCAGTTAGCCAGCTGACGGAAATTAACGTGGGTCCTATCCTGAGATGGGAATAGCAGTGATTACGTTCCCAATCCCGTTGTACTCCGAAATGATTGATGCAGTAACTGTCAACGAGAAGCTCAGTCAATCGGGTCTGCTATCACTGTCGACTTCACCTTAACTATAAAAATTTTCACACTTGTCTGACCTTAGGTCAAACTGATCGGGTGATACTGCTTCGTTACAAAATATGCAAAGTTCACAGTCGAAATGGATGATAAAAGTTCTTCTATACTCATTAACCCTTTAGTAAGATCATTTTTCCGAAACGAGACCCTCCAAAGTGATTAAAATCCAATGTATGGTTAGGAAAAATTAAGCAGCAACTTGAGTAATTCAACGAAGTTGATGCCAGATTGCATCACTCCCAGTTGAGGGCAAAATGAAAACTTGACTGATTGATACGAGTTACTGTGAAGTTGTGGTTCGATTTCGAGGTCCTCAGCCACATAAGTGCTTCAGACCATACAGGCACTCATCAGGCGGGCGCAGAGTCATCGGACAGGTGAGTATTCGGTTAACAGTTTCCGGCTGTTTCCCACGGGACCACACTTCAGTCGATCAGCTTGCACAGCTGCCGAGTTTCACTTAGGTCTGAAGCTAAAACGTATAACTTGTCTCGACCACGTCGTGGTCGTTTAGGTCTGGTCCGAAACTAGACGAGTTTTTGCAGACTTTTCGATTTGTCGAAAACTGAATTTCGATGGTTTCTCACCCCAGCTGCAGTGAAATTGGGCTGCCTCGTGCTCACAGGCATCGCACAGGCGCATGTTGGTCCACTGATTATCTAAGCCTTCAGGTTGTTCTTACCGGTCTAAATAGGCCTAATTTGCATGCCTGATAGATAGCTGGGGAGCATTCCACGGTTGAGAAGTGGACTTGCTGACCCGAGCATATGTCTTTCGAAACCAACGCCGGCACCCTGGTTGATCCAGTCTAGACTTGGGCAACCTGATAGTATCTCAGTCCTCACGCTTCCGTCAGGTGGCACAGCAACTCCATTTGAAAGCGGTGTAACAGCTGAACGAGTAATTTCCCACTTAAGGTTGACGCTTCATGGTACCTGGCGATTCTTAAGTTAAACGCATTATGTAAAAAAATACTTTTGTTACTGATGACTCGAAGTTTCTACCTGTGGTATTTGTGAGTAATTGCCCGTTTGCACAACCTCCTTTAGCATGTATCGTAAGGAATACAAAAAAACGGATTATTTTTCTTAACTGAGGGATCATAACGTAAACTTATCATAACCGTAAACATGTCACAAAAATGATGTTTAAGCAATTCTCAGTATCTTAGTTTCCCAAAAAAACCTGTACCTTGACATTTCAGGGGTTTGCAAATAACTTCCTGAAAAGCGTATCAAAACACCTTGTTCCAAAGTGCGACACCGAATTCTGGCAGGAAAATACCTCCAAATAATGAATGGTTGTTAAATTAAGTAGATTTGAAGTTATTTCCAATTGTTGATTAGCTGAGACCCCTACACAAATATTCATCGCGCTGACAGACTTCAGATTTCTTGGTGTAGCCAAGAATCAGAAAATAGACCAAACGGCTGGTTTCATCTTCGATGAGTTTCGTTTGTAGCAGGGGACATTTATTAAGCGAAAGACTCACCATTTTCGACACGCAAGGCAAATGGAGGCAGGAAGAAAGAAAATAAGTGTTTCAACTAATCACGTTCGAAAGGGAATTCAAACAACGAATACTCGATATTTCCACGGTTTCATTCGTCTTCTCAAAAGTGGCAACTATTTTTGTAGAAGTACGGTTTGTTTTTCGACTCTTTTTGGCCAAGGTACATAATAAGAAGAGCTTCAATTTAGCATCAATGCATAAAAGTGATCGGACTGGTAAGTCGGACAAACGACCTCCTTCGTCTTACGGAGATGAAATAAACGTCGGGTCAAATATATACATGTATACGTATGTTTCCCAAGATTTTTTTCGTTCCTTTTTTTTCATTTGTCCAGAATAATATAAAATTATGAGCTTTATGAGAAGCCCCCATCCAAGTTAGCACTTGAGCTTGTCATTTTTTCATTAAAAATACAAAAACTGATGAGAACTGGCTTCTTAGAAGTTCAGTGAGTACGTATAACTAAACACCATTTCTCCTTTTCAAACGGAGTGGCCACTTTAGGAGTGCAAACACGGATGTCTTTAAACACCCAGTCACTCTCTCCGGAAGAATCTTCAAGTTGAAAACAGTGATAGCACTTCGTCTAACGGTGTAAGTTTATTTTAGGTCTTCACGTGTGCAATGCATGTGTGCTTTAGAGGCAGCAGGAAGCCGTTAGGAGTGTTGGCCTCGGGTTGCGGAGTATTTAAGTGAGTTGGTAGCAGTGAGATTTGGACGTTAAAAGAAACACAACAAGCCGCAACTTCACATCTAACTATTGAGAATACACCTGAATAAGTGGTGTGTTGCTTACCCCTTGGTCTTCTGCAGACGACTGAAACACAAGCGTCCCCGATCATACGGAGTAGAATGAAGGAAAGTTTCCACCTCCTTGATCAGAGGTGCACTCGGTGCAGCCAGCCCCGTCGCCAACCACATGAGTTCCCAGCCTTTCTTAAAACTTCGTCTGGAAACAAAATGAAAACGGCTTAGGGCTTTATCGACCAAGACATGAATAATACCAGACAAGCTCACGTCTAAGTGGACAACGTTTCAACTAGCGATTTAACGTGGACATAACATGCACAGTCTTAAGCTGAATTGTATTGTACATCAGTTACTTGGATTTACTGTTGCACGGTCACCGAATAAAACCCCCGTACTTAATGTTCGATAGTTCTGTGGATATTCCTGGGTGTATTGTGGATGAAAAGCCCTTTCCTTTGGTTGGTCTTACGCTCTGACAGAATTGTCCACTAGGGTTCAATGTCTCTCTGAGAGGGATCGATTTCTCATCTATTTTCATGCATTTTTGCGTAGGGAAGTTGTTCCGCTGTAAATCAGCTTTGGTAGGGGGCGACCCTTAATTGCCCGATGTTTTCAAGTACGATCACATATAGATCTTCCAGGAGGAGCTGAGAAAATTAGATTTTTCTACTGTCAGATTTAGGCACGAATGTTTACTCCGGACGATTTTTAATTGCATGAAAATTGGCAACGGAAGAAAAACAATCACCAGACATTGCCCGAAAAACGCACTTATTTGGGTTTTTTGTTAATTGCTTGATTATTTGGCAGTAAATCTCATCACGCAGTAACTCTGAGGCAAGAAACGGACCGAATATGTTGTCTGTCAAAATGCATGGATCAGAGATGGAAGGCTTTGCGGTTCTGTCGGGCCTGGAATCGCCCATATACTGCATTATGGCTATGAAGGTGGCCAGAGCTGTCTGTTGATCACGCTCATCGGCATCTTCCAGCTTTCTAAGTAACGGCTTTTTCAATGCCTCATGAGTATGGCTCCATAACTCGGCACCTGGTATGCTCGGATGGCGTCTGGTCCATGGCCTGAAATGAACAACAAATTAGGGATTCAGGGACACTCTTTTCCATTTGCAAAATCAGGAGGATTGCTGACCGGCTGAAACTAACTTCTGTTCATTTTTCTTTCAACAAGCTGCATCTTGGATATTTTACAAGGAAACAGGAAGATTTTACCTCTATAGAATGACCGTTATTATTTATCACGCATACCGCGTGGTCCCGTTTTGTGTAGCCTCTTAGAAATTCCTCGCGGACCATTGGTATTATGATACTAAGGCTTTTGCTTTACTGTCAGGCTATTTGTCATCCGAAAATACCTAACAGTGTAGTCTCTTAAAGACCTTCGTACAAACAAGAACAGCTTTAGCTAGTATTGGCTCTATCTGCATGATAATTTTTAATGTAGTAAGCTACCGGATTATCCTTTACACACAGGTCATACTTTTGTATCACCAATCACGTACACCATCCTACTAATGGGGTACAAAAATCCGTGGGTCCATGGAAATAAACTGTCTTCTGCGATTGATGGAGAACCTGATATTTGCTTTTCTACAGACTTAAAATACCCACAGCACCCATTCGTTTTATTTCTGATACTCATTATACTGTCTTCATAAATGCTTGCTGAACTCATTGGTTTGCATACGCGTCAATGATGATTGTGGAGATGATCTGGCACACCGAACGTTTTGCTCGATGCCGAATTTAGCTCCATACCTAGTTACGGTACCATAGAGAAGCTCGTCTATGACGAGGTCAGAATAATGCAACGAGAACAGCAACGCTGTGAGCTGAATTAATTTCGGACATTCTTATCGGCTGCGAGACGTTCAAAACTTTCAGTGGTAAGCCCAACAGTCTATTGGAATGATGTCAAAACGACTTGTCATACTCAAGTGGTTTGTGATCGACTGAGCTGTCCATTGATTAAAAAACTGGTCACTGTCTTTTTCAGCATGTAGTCTGCGAATGTCTCTGAGTATAGGTTGGTTGGCCTTGGACTCAAACTGATATAGGGTGCATCGTAACTTCAGGTGGACAGATAGACACATTGATTATTGAATCAGATTGACTTGGACATTTTGATCGCCAGCAATAACATTGCCTTTGTGCGTGGTTTCAGCACGAAGTGAGGTACGCAAGCTGTCCGTTGCAGATTACTCAGAACTTACTTCTTCCCCTCTTCTTTACGCAGCAGGTTTAAGCCCCTCTCCTCCCTCCTGTTGCGTTACCTCTAGTATGCGTGTATGAGTGTCTACTCAAGAATATTGTTTTGCATGATTTCACTAGTGCTGTACTCACCAGTTCTAAACCTATTGGCGTAGCACGCTGAAGCTAGAACTGACAAGCCGGGCATCGCAATGCTGACTCAGTCTTAAATAACAACTTATTTTGACGGCAGTCTGGAAGTTTGATGGTTTTTTGCCATTAGCAGACCGCTCACGATAAGTCAAAGGACTGTCGTTGGAAAATAGGGTACTGGAACTAGACAAGTCGTCAGATTTGTTGGCCGCCGGTTGGCATAGTATGTGGGAATTTAGCGTCATGGATCTGCAGTAAAAATTGGTGTGGCATGTGTCGTGCTGGCTACAGATGGTTTGGGAAAACACTGAAATTCAAAATACCAGCAAGCATTAAAACTTCTGATGTATTACACGCAATTCTTCATTTATTCTTCTTTCTGGCTTACCTAAAATAGCGTGCGGCAAATTCTGCCAGAGTATGCTGTTTCTGTCGCCGTCCCACATAGATGTCTGTGGTCACAGTGTACATCGAGCCTGGTTGCTCCTTACTGCTCATAAGCCTTGGCAAGTAAGTGATGTTCCGGACTGGAGTTACGGATCGCATAAGTTTTTGAAACTTGGATCTTCCCTCTTCTCCTTCGCTCTGGTTTGCCGGCTGTGTGGAAGTTCCAAAAAGCCCCAATATGTCCGCAGAGGGTATTGTTAAGCAGGGAAGGACGTACACGCATTTGACCGGAAATTCGCCCATTTTCCCAGTGCGCTGGTTTTCGCCAACACACCAGCCATGACTGTCGCCAAGCTGAATAAGATGTTCGTGCAGAAAAGGGAAAGGTGAGGGGCTGGAGCAGGGTATCATTGTTGGACTGTCAGGATCCATAGGCTCTTCCAATATCCGACCTTCCTCGTCGTCCTCTGGGTTGCGTACACGTTTCTCTTTACTCAGAATGATTAAGTCTCCGTAATTCAAGGAGAGCAGAGGCTTGGGCTCACCTAAAGCAAGTGGAAACCACTCGTGGGTTTAATGATACAATCGCTTGGCTTGAGCGACTTGTGTTAGGATGCAATTGCACGAAGGTTTACATTCATAGGAAAGTGAAATAACAAACCAACTTCTCCTAGGGACATATGCAAACCATTTGGAAACGGTGACAAATGCCTTCGGAATTACCTGAGATTCATAGTCTCAAATAACTGTTTCAACTAATAAGCTGTTCAGGTATAGGTCCCTCGATTAAGAGCTGCCGTTTATTGGACTCTATTTGGACTGGACACACGGGCGTCTATGGACCAATATTGCACTAGGACTTGTATAGGCACATGACTCTTGACAAATCGCTTGATCCCTGATTTTCTGGTAACTGAGTTGATGCAAGATTGATTTAAGCAGCTGCAGGAACCTCAGAATCAACGTGTGACTAGGCGTTTTCGGTTAGAAATAATAGAAACGGCATAGATCTCTAGTTATAGAGATGGATGTGGGGTGAAAATTAGTCGATTAATCTTGGAAATCTTCATTTTTCTTCAAGCACTATCAACTTTTTTGGTTGTATTTTTGATACCTCTGACATAATTTTGCATCACTGCTGGCGTCCTAACAAGATCCGACAGCAATCTTGCACATCTTTACGGATACTGTGAACTTCCATATGAGACTTGATGCTGAGGTGGATTGTGAACTCATCAGCAAACCTTGCATCTTCGCAACAAGTATATCCATCTTTCTTGTTTCTTCCAATCACTGAATTTCAATCGTGGTACCCAAGGTGTCTTTAGGGGAAATCAGATACCGTATGCAACAAAAGCTGTGAAGTTAGCGGGAAAAATGCTTCAAAAGAAAACACCAGACCAACAAAAGGACTTCCAGTATAGCACTATGCTTTCATCCGGTATCTAGCTATTTGCGAACATCCAGACTTTCGCTTTGCCAAATTTTGCCTAGTCGAGGTCGATAGATCTTTCGACACTACTCAAGTGGTTTTCGAATGGTGAAATGTATGACTACAATGACGGGCAACAAAGTAAATTTACAAATTGAGTTCGTAACAAAGTTTGGGAGTAACTACTTCATTAGGTTGTATGTTATAAAGATATTGGGTGCAAACTACGGTACGGACATTTCTGAGTAGCTTTGGAGCTAAGTGGCAAAAAACAAATCATTTTTACTGTCTCTTATGACTGTCTAACAATCGACCACGTATTCCGCCTTGACGTGCGCAGAATTCTTCCTCTCTCGAATGGTCAGGATTTCAGTGGCCAAGATTTCTTGTTGTATCCATTCTGTTTGCCATCTTACCAGCCACAGGTCAGTTCAGTCAGCTTTCTCTACTTACTCGGACATGACTGCTGGCAAGCAGCGAAAAAATAGAGAAGGAGTTCAACCGTCAGACCGACTATTTCATAGAGTTGCTTAAAAGTTGGTGCTACTGTCACTGTCGTATCAACGCTCTACGGTAAGCTCGCATCATCCAAGATCCTGGTTGTCCGTCCATTTGGATACCTTTCCGCTGAACTCAGTGACTCAATGAACTCATCTCAAAAAACTCAATGAAGCCGATGCATTTTGTGGTGATGATAGAAGGCCACTGGTTTCGAACATGAAGTATAAAGCTTCCGAACCTCATCTGATCCATCTGGTTAAGGATTCTTTCCCTAGCCCTTCTCAGCCCACTTACTTCAGTATCCAAATCTTCCCCTCTCATCACTTTCACAGTGTTTTATTGTTCTCACTTCTACAGTTTCACACACAAGCAGAAGTCTTCATTCCAGTGTGGTTGAACAATGGCGTTATGAGCAACTCTAAGTATCTTACGTCTGAAATCTAGGCAAGCTCACAGAATGGACTTGATGAACCGTTACAGTGCCCTTGTGGCCATTACGTTCTAGCCAGTATCCTCAAGCTTAATGTCGGGTTGTTTTCGCTCTTCTCAGGTAGGGTTACAAAGATAAGTGGAAATATCTAGTTATCACTCTATCTATTAGTTCCGTTTGGTCTATCCACATATAGTCCGTTTTAAGAAAACAGCGTTTGTCTTTCTACGCTGAGAAACTAAGAAATGCACCTGACCACAATATACATTGATCTGTTGTCGTGTATGGTTTCCTTCTTTGCACACACGGTTCACCTCTGTTTCCCTGGACGGAATGTTCAGGCTACAACTACCAGCCTGAAAGCTGCTAGTCCAAATCGCCCTGGAGATTCGTGAAAGGTGCACTCGCATACAATGAATTCATCTGCGAGACGAAATCTCCACTGAATGGCTGAGAGGGAACCAAATACCTCCAATAATTTAAACAACACATTAAGGAGGCAGAAAGTAGCTGAAGCATATATTTGGTATTGGCTCATCAACCATGACCAGGAAGACGAAACGATAAGCCTGTAAAAAATGGGGTAATCTACTTAGTAAATAACTAATAAACCAACAGGAAGAAAGAATGCACGTATCAGGTTTGGTGTGCAGAGGTGTGAGAAGGTTGTAACCAGGCTGTCTTTCTGCCTTAAACGTTTAGAACTTGACCAACACATCTACCGCCTGGATTTTAAAAATTTCCTACAGACGTTATGTTTAACAGGCCCACGGATAATCAATATGCCTGGGAACAGGATGCATGTGGCGGGTTCGGGTGAATTTCAATGAGTCGTTAGAAAGAAGTCATGGCCAGTCCCTTATCCCTGGAGATTATCAGTGTACCATCTACACAGCACTTCGTAAACGCTAGATCCGATAGGAAAACATTCGGTCGTTTTTCACAACTATCAAAACATTTGCCATGAATGAGTACAACGAATCACCCATTTTTACTACGACAATTTCACAGCAATTTATTTCGTGGAGGGTGGACATGGCCAGGAAAGGTCGGAACGGTTTAGTTGTTTTCAGAGACCCATGGACATTTAACCTTTCATGGGTCGCACCGTGTTTGAGGTGTGGGTAAAGGTAATAACACGCTCATTCTTCTACTTCGTCAACTGACTCTTCAATGTATAACAAGTGAAACTGTTGATCTGAAGTAATATTGTCAAGCTAAATCTGTTTTTCCATGACCACAGCTCCGAAGGCTTTGTTGGAAAGATTCATCACTTAGATTTGATTACTTACAATGCAATACAATGCCTGAGAAGGACCACTCTGTTATTGCAACATTCTCTAATGCTGTTCGCATTATTTCCAAGTTCTGTTCAAGAAAACACAATGTTTATTCACAACCACCAATGTCGTGCACCGGTAATAATTTCAAAATATGCGCTTCAGTATTTATCACCTGTCACAATTCCGTAACTGTTTTAGGGAGCATCCCTGAATTTGATGATAGCCTCAAGCGTCTCACTGATAGAATCCTCCTATTGAGTACCATTCCATGTTTCCATCACAGCATCTTTCTTCTAGTTGAAAATGTCTTTTTTGACGCGTATGTAAATATTCGAACTGCCTCTTAATGGGTGAGTAAAGGCTTCCTTGAGATGATATGCCTACAGTTAGGCAACCGCGTGGGCAACTGGGCAACTTCCATCCAAAAATTCCTATGTAATATACAGACACGCAACGTTCAATTATGTGTTCAAACGTTCTTCCTTAAAAAAAACTATGGGTTGTTTGATTAAATCAGCCAATTTCCCACCTCAGCTTCATGTTCACATTTGCCTAATTTTCGGGATGCCAGTGAAATCTTGTAGATGAATACTACTACATTTCGGAATTAACCGTAAAAGGTAACGTACGATCTACGGTATCAACTCTCATTTATACATCCTTCATTGTCCCACGAACCGGGACGAATTGGATATCACTCAATAGACTGAAAACAAAGACAGAAAAATTAGCGGAAAAATGCCATTGTACGATGCAACTGGCTCTATGTTCCCGAAAGACTAAACCGTTCTTTCAGACGGGACCAAAAGCCAGTTTAGTGGTCTTTCAAACCTGCTCCTTCCTACCCTAGGAGTAGGACTGACTTCACAGAGAGCATATCTCACTAAATTAGATGAACCAGAGGAAAGCTATAAATCCAAAAAGAAACCAAAACATTTCGAATATATTTGCTCCAACAATTTTGCTCAAAAATCAGGAAAGACGAACAAAACTCAACTTGGATGCACCCCCAGAATGTTGTCGTGGTTTTTGTTCAGATTGCATTGTAGCATTCTGTGAAAATCTGTCGGGTCAAAATACTGCTGACAATGCTAGAGTAAATGCTAATCCTGATCCTTTTATGTGGATTATCAGGTGTCTACATTCTTTGAGGCCATCTGAGAATATAAATGTGCAGAAATACCAGTGTGCAAAATTCAAAATGTTTCAACCCATTGTCATTCCCCATACAAAGATGGATCTGGATGCATGAATATATCCTGAAAGCCAAAACCGCTTTTTATCGGATTCCGTGGGAGTAACGATGTAACTACATACACTACTGATGGAGCATTCGAGTAGTGTCGGGTCTGGTGTCCAAGCTCCACTGTCGCATCTGATGGAAGGTGAATGTTACCACGGAAATTATGGAACCGTTTGGCAATGTTTTTTTACTACTATTTGATGTGCAAAGAACGTCCATGAAAGTTCAGGAGGACACTTGATAATATTCATTTTAAAAAAACCTCTGTGCAGATGAGATTGACTTTCGTGTCTGATGGTTTGTAACCGACTATTTCGTGTTCGCTAGCAGAACTTCCCAGCGACGGGCATTTATCCTTTGACCTGGGTTGTGACACTTGACTATTATGCCATAATTTTTCTTCAGGGAATCGGTTTCTTTACACGATGTCACAGACTGTGTACTGCTCTAGTTATGAAGTAATTAAGTTGATTATCAGAAGGTAACAAGTACTAACAAATGTTTGTCTTACCAGAATGTGATGAATACGATAGTTAGGTGCGCTTGACAAAAAAATGGATACAATGCGAAAAGTGGACACTTGTTGAGAGTTCCTGAGTGAAGTTCCGGATGCGGGACGTGTCTTCTCTGCAGTATGGCTGCTACACGTGTTCCGTAGTTGACCGTGGAGACTTGCAGAGCTCTGTTGACTTCCTGTCCTGTGTGCGCGGGTGTGTGTGTTGAACCCATTTGTATGCCTATTTATTGTGTGCAGTGTGAGGAGAAGGGTGTCCCTTCATGTTCGATTCTTGCACGAACATGAATACAAATTGACCTGATGTGCTGAATTTTCATAAGCCTGGTGGGTTACGCAAGTGGTAGCCGCGTAAAAAAGATGGATGAGAATTTGTAGTTTACACGTTGTCGGCTCAGGTTGCGAGTGGGACAGGAATCGTCACGTGTTTTGAGTGTGTGTGGCGCGTGATCTAATGAGTGACCTCTGTAGTACCTTGCGTAGGGGTATTTGACAGTGGTCTTTAAGTTGGGTCCAAGGGAGCCGAGGCCGCGAATCGAAAAAGCATAATTGTATCAAAATCATAGAAGGTGCTACAAGGTGCCTGTCGCCGAAACTTTTCGAAAGATCACTTTACCCTCAATGGTGTCCTCTGTATGTGCCACAATGTGGGAAAATGATACTTTCAATTAGATTAAACGAAGAAAACTTCGGAATATTAACTGACCTAATAGGATTTATCGGGAAACGACGTGACCAAAATATCACTGCGTTCTGTCAGTCCCCTCCACAATAAACATCTCCAAGATCGGATCTAGCAAGTGGTCTATATTAGGAGGAACCTTTGTTTGGTTTGCGACCTGATAGGTCATTTTTGTAATGTTGACTAAGATTTTCATGTTGACTCATGGTCAAAACAGAAGAATTCAATCTTACTTTGGACTTGATGGAAATCTCGTACCACGATCGCATAGCGTGACCGCTCCTTCAGTCCAGAGAGAAAAGCCATCACCAAATTTTTAATCTCCTCGGCATCCTTTGAAAAGAAACTATATTCTACTCCTTTTACCGTTGTTATGGTGAGCAAGTCTATCATTGCTCCTTTAGGGCTGCAGTTGCGAAGAGAAACGAACGAAATACGAAGTGAAAACGCTTAAAGAGATTCAAATAAAAATGTTTGAAGGCCGAACAAACAAATTCGACTACTGTAATTATGTTTTAGCCCAAAACACAAGGCGAATTCCACATCCATAAGGAAATGGCTTCATCGGAGCTCGTGCACGGTGCTTTTCATTTGCAAAGAACAGCCTTAATGGTTAGTTAACGGCTTTGTCTTTTTCCAACTTTAGTGGTCCAACTCTCATCTATCCATTATGCGAACTCCGCGATCACTTCCAAAAAAGTAAACATATTCAAGCATCGTCTCTTTGAATCCTAGCCTATTTCTCGGAACGTTTGTGGAAGTGGGTCATTTCTCAACAAGTTGACAATCTTCAAGGATAACTTTGTGGACATGTCCGAACTTTATTTCTCAGTTCTGCACAGCGTTGACCATAATAATTGGCTTGAAAACGTCGCCAGTCAAAGAAATAACAGCATACGCTGAGTATGCACTCATTTGCAAACTAATTTGGTTTTTTCGAGAGACTGACCTGGAACCCAGCTGAATCTCTCGTTTATGTTCTCAGCATAGAGTATCGCAGATCAGGAACCTCTGCAGTATCCTCGCTCCGCAAGAAATCTGCATCAAAGCAACTGTCCTAGAAAAGAAATGGTTTCTGAAATCGCCACATTCTTATATCGGGAGTACATCAAACCCCGTCTTAATAAAACGGCATATAAAAAGAACGCTTGAGTCGACTAGTTTCGCTATTCGAATTCTCGACAGTTGAGTCCTCTGCTGTAGCACTTTTAGGCAGTAACCCAGCAAGAAACAGCGAGTATTTTATCACGATCCCGAAAATACGAACAAAACAACCACCGCATGTGCATTGGAAGCTTCATCTGTGAACCTTAGGCCATTTCACCTAGTAGATGAAACCAAATGAATCGATCTATGCTACATCAAATCTAGACACATCAAGTGATAGTTTGCGGAGTGCTGCTCACATGCTTTACCGGGTCCGCGAAATGGGGCGCAGTGATCTTACTTATGAATCGGTCAAGAAACCGTTTGTTTGTCGCCAAAAAGGCCAGGGCCATACGTCTTAGCAGGAAAATTCAGATTTTACTAGTCACTATCGGGTAGGACGAATCGTTCAAAATAAAAACTGACCAAAGATGCATGAGTAAACATATAACTTGAATTTCCAGAAGGAAAATACTCCGTAGCCAGAGGATGGGTGAAGGATTACACTTAGAGAAGAAAAACTCGCAATCATGTATAACTCACTATTCTCCTAGAATATTAACAGCACATTCAGCTGATATTTTCACACGTCTTTGAATCTATTTTACGAGAGAGTACTGGCTACAACACAGTCGTCATCCTCTTATTAGATTCCAGCTTGTCTCGAGTCGTACGGCAAACACAGCGTCGACTCAAAGTAAGGCTCAATCTAGGCTCCTCGAAGTGAGAGTCATCCTACATCGCTCAAATGCACAATCAGGATCACTTCTTGTATGCATTTCAAGGTCCTCACAAACCGAAATTTGATCAGTCACCGTATTTTTCATCTGAAGCATCAAGTGGCCAGAACGATCATGTAAACACAAGTAAGTTAGCGTTATAGTAATAGGTTTGTTGGGATCGCAGTAAATTATCAGCCAGTTCAGTGATCCAGTCACTAAAACGATTGATCGGAGTGTTACGCCATTTTACAGCCATTTCTCTTAGATACGACCCGTAGCTGGCATTGAATCTCTATAGTACTGCGTTGCAAAGTACGCACCAGCTGTTGACCAAACAGTAGATTTCCGGATAGTTCATTGTACGAATCAGATACTGCTGATCGTTCACGACAAACAGGCCTGCACTGTTTATGGCGATAATCACCTCTTCAACATAAAGACTGGGACCGGTGAATTGATGCGCCTCGTAGAATTTCGAGAAGAACAGTGGCCAATGGTCCTTCGCAATTTGCACAACCTCTTGTTGGATTCTGCTTGGTCTTGGCAGCGAACTGAACAAATCGCGTCGCTGGAGATGCTGGCCGGGTTCAAACAAATGTAGTAGGCGGAAGTTATATTTATGCGGCTCTTGAAGGGTAGTTAGACGATGGAATAGAAAATTTTTTTATCTAATATTTCAGATTATGGCGTTCAAGGAACTTTCGACACAGCTTGTTAGAGTTTGTTTGCCACAGTAAATGAACGTGAAATTCTTCTACTTTTACCAGGTAACGATGGCTTTAATTGTTTGAGGCTTGTACAAGGACAGTTAAACGTTGGTCTTTAGTGCACTTCAAAGTCATGTTTGTATGTTTGGCTACTCGTTCCGACTAAGCCTCCGGGAAACTGAGGTGTCACAAAAACGGCTGCCTTCAGGCACAGTCCTTATTACTACTCACCTGTTGAAATCAAGATAAACGGCAGCTCATACCGTACGATCCAAAAGTTTTAGCTGAAGGTGACAAATATTCTTTGGCTCCCTATGTCAACAGTTTGGTCTCCGATCAATCAGCTGAGTTTGGCAATGACTGAGGCTCCGCTGGATGTAAGTGGGAACGATTGGAATGCACGCCAGATTTGGTGGGCATAAAAAACCACCAAGGAATGCAGAAGAAAACCAAGCACTGGTCAAAGACTAAGTGATGGTGGTACATGCCTTAAATACGGGACATAAAATAGATCTAGAGAGTGGGGAAATTGTAAGACGGGGACTGCGATTCACACCACAGCGGCTGATAGCCGAGGCGGTGGAAATTACTAAGCATCACAGCGTGAATAGAATTGAGGGTGTGGAACTGGCGAGCGTACGGAAAGGGGTCTTAGATAAGCCGAGTCGACACGTGACGGTGTGGTTGTCCATTCACGTAGGATCATTAGAAAAAACCGGGGGTGTGTGGGGTTGGAAATCCCAACCCGGCCAAAGGTCACATTATCCATCTCACACAACTATCTTGGCACTAGCTCACCCACACAGACGGACAGAAGGCTCAAGAGAGACCATCAAATAAACCGAACCAGAAGAGCTAGACCCTAGGCTGGACCCAAACACATGTAGGTATCCCACCGACCCAACACTTGTTCAACCACTCTAACACACTAAAATCCCTCGGTAAACACCCAACAGAGATTTAGCTTGACTCAGCTGATTGGTTCTCCTTCCGCCTTAAATCTCCACCAACCTCGGAACCTAGTCACTTGGCCTGACGAAGCCTTTGTGTCAAAAGTGAAACGTCGCCTAGCAATAAATCTACCGATTGTCATCAAGCTTTTCTCGGAAACGATGGGAACGAATAGTTTACACCCTATGACCGAAATTAATACACAGACATGGTAGTGCGCTTAACACAGTCTTTGATTTTACTCTTTCTTACATATCCTGTGGTTGAGCACAATCGTCCAGAAAACGTAGATGAGAGGTTCGACACCGTCAAACACGTGGTTGTCGGTGATACGTGCGCACAGTGATTCAAAGCGATGTT